AAGGTGGGAGGGAGCGCTGTACATTCACTCCCCCCACCTACAATCCTTGCCGGTACGAGACTCGAACCTGCAACCTTTGGGTTACGAGTCCGGCTCTCTAACCATTAGGCCACGACTTCCACAATATTGTACTAAAATGTAAGTCGCTTAATATTAACATGCTGTCTACACAGGCGATAATGCCAAAAAGAAAGAAACATCGGAAAATAGGCAATAATAATAATAATAAATAAACATTTTATTCAAGACAATATTATATGACATCAACATGTATTTATCATTCTTACAATCACCGCCAGAATGTCTAACTTCACCATGATGAACTTAAAATTGGGTTCTATTATTTTTCCTCAACAGTTCAAACACAAATTTGATAAGAACAGAGTAGAAATTATTAGCAGCAGCAAAGCTAACGTTTTCTGTTAGTTTAAGCCCAAACTAAGAAAAGTAAAACCAAACTTTGTGGCAATAATTAAGACCCAACTGAACATGGTGTATTTATGGTGCATGTCGGCAATGTTGTCTCGGCGGGGGCGGGGCGTGGGGGAGGGGGGGCTTATGTAGGTGATATTATCGGATATCACGATATTTTTAAAGGCGATTACCGATAAGATATTTTTGACACATTGCCCAGCCCTAGTTCGCTGTAGGCTGCCCACGAAAGCATGATATTGCTCTTTTTTTCAGTGTACATATATCAACAACACTGTAGATATTGCTATTTTACCTATGCAACTTATTGCAGTCTAAATTTCTAGACTGTATCCCACCCTCCACAAAAGAAAAAAGAATTGCCCACCCTTCTGTAGTGCTTAAGAACCGGGCCTGATATTGACTGTTTTTGCTCAATTTCACTGACAAAAATAGTTCCGATCAAAGCCACAGCAGAACTGTTGTTTCTCTCTGAGCAACACACAGCGGTGTTTCATTACTGAATGAATCCACATTTTTGAACGAATCGAGTGAGTCAATGATCCAGTGGCCCATTCATAAGGACAGTCACTTGCCTCGTTTCTGAATGAATCAGCCGTTTGAATTGGAGCCCGTCCGATATATCGTAAAGCCGATATTATAGGCCGATATGGGCCTGTCGCTGATATGTTGGTATCGGTGAATATGCCGCCGATATGAACATTGTTTTTACAGAACATATAAAGCAGATTAAATGCTTCTGAATGGTGTAATTACTTAGTTTGTCCAGCCTTTTCAGCGCTCCATTCTTTGCTACTGGCGACCCAGGTCAGTGTAGTGTAGAGATGCGCGGATGAGCTCAAACATCACCCGAGTCAGCTGCTTCAAATTATCCACCCGCCACCCACCCTCACCTATATTTGATCGTCACATTACAGTGATTCTAATTCTTAGTTTTGCATGATGATATGATGAATGGATGGTTCATTTTAACAGCAGATTCAGTGATGTTAGAGACTAGAGCTGATCTGCGCATCACGGCACGTGTTAGCGGCGCACTAAAGCCTGTGTTACGGCCACCGAAGCTGATCTCGGCCACTCAATGCTGGTGTTTACTGGCCGCACTGCGACCTAGAACTCATGCTTATCACATCGGTCACATCACATCGTGCGGCGCAACAAAATACAATAGAATATATATAGAGACCGTGTCTGTGAATATTGAACTGCAAAAAGACGATTTAAATACGAATGTTCTGCATGTTCATTGGATTACCAGAAAATACACAACACAGAGTTTGTGAAAAAAAATATTATTCATTATTATTTATTCATTTTAGATGTTTACATTTAGAAAAGCTGTGCTTCCTGCATAAAACCTGCCCCTGTTGGTTTGGCAGTAGCTTGCTTGCCCTACGCAGTTACCTTGTTTAATTTCTTAGTTCAAGTTGTGTATATTTTGTTCTATTAATGTTGTTTATAATAAGTGAAGTTTACTGTTAAGTGCACTGATGTCAGACTAGGGCTGGGTGATATTGCTAAAAAATGTATCGTTATCGTAAATATATCGTTCGGTATTGATAATTATTGACATTTTTATAACCTTTAAAACAAAAAGCAATAGAATTTTTTATTTTTTTTTATTTAACCACTGTTATTTATAAATAACACTTTATTGAGACAAACAAAAATATTTTTTGTTTTAACAATCAAACACAATAAAAATTAAACATATCTAATTTCTAATGTTTTATATGCAGATTAAATAGGTCTTTATTGTATAGGTCTAATTGTCTCCCGGGGGCGCAATGAGCAAAATAATGCAGCGCATTTAGCAAGTAACTCTATAAAAACGTTCATGACGTCTAAATTAACTCATAAAAATCTAATATAATTTCGTAAATTGCATAAACAATTACGAACAAAACAGCATCATGTATGTATGTATGCATTGCTTTATCCAAAGAGCCGAAGCGCCATTCACACAGACTGCATTTAAAAACATATGAGACCCAGTGAAAAGGAATAAACCTCCACAAATTTGTGACGTGTTCTCTAAAAGTTTAAACTGTTTTAACTTTGCATGGCTTTCTATACATCTCTTCTGTGAGACGCGAGTGCAGCAGTCATATTTGTCCGTCAAAAAAAAAAATGCGCTGAATCTGCGTTCTGTGTGAATGGCTTGGTTTCGGTTTTAACCCATTCAAGATCTTTTCCGCATTGAGCTTCTATATTTCTCTAATATTTTGAATGCATCACACTGCAGCGGCGCATCTCATGGGCTAGACTAACAAAACATTAAAATGCAACAACGTCACTTACAACATCACCGCATCTCGCGCACCACTGATGATGCTCCCTGATGCACACCTAACATTCAAATGCAAATGTTTATTTTAAATTTGACTTAATTCTTTATTCACAATCTCTTCATCGCAGGCACAGCACTCATTTCAACATGTGTTTGTGTGTGCTGTCTCATAGCACCTCATAGCATGTGCCTATATTGTGTGCTATATCGAAAAAAAATTCTATCGATATCGAAGGTGTACATCAATAAATATCGATACCGTTTTATCGCCCAGGCTCATTTTGAATAATAAAGCTTAGTTAAATTGTTAAATACCCTGCCTCCATTACATAGGCCTATGTTTGTTACATCATTATAAGTGTTTGATCACCACATTTGAGCTATCTCAAAAAATGTGTTTATATATATATATATATATATATATATATATATATATATATATATTCTGTTTATGTAGGCTATATACTGTATTCTATATACAGTACCAGTAAAAAAAATTGGACACACGAATGGGAATTGTCCAAACTGTTGACAATACTGTACTATAATATAGCCTACACACAAAGAATAGTGGCCGATATATCGATATTGGTCTTTTTTTCTCACTAATATAGGCATCTGCATCGGCCCCTAAAAAACCCATATCGGTCGGGCTCTAGTTTGAATGAATCGGTTGAATGAAAGAATAAATGACTCACTCATTAAAACCGACATTTGCCACCACCTACTGGTGGTTTAGTCATATTTAAAAGTATCATTGCATTTTTTTCAACATTTATTTGTATGTTTTAAAAAATATCTAAAACATTAATCTTATAAAATTATTTGTGCATTTGAAATTTTAAATGTGTAAATGCATTTATGGCACCTCAGCTTCATCAAAATGCATCTAATGCCACTTCAGATGCAGCTTCTGTTTCCTCAGCAGTGGAAAGATAGTTTAATACTAATTTCATTTGAATGGTAACAACTCTACAGTTTCTTATTATTCTAACTGAATTAATTGAAACAAAGTAAGAATTTCATGTGAAGGTTAGGGGGGTATAAATGACAATTTATAAACATAGTGGGAAATTACATCTGTTTTGTTACATACAGCAACTCATTTTAAGTTACAGTGGGGAAAAAAGTATTTAGTCAGCCACCAATTGTGCTTCCTCTTTCGAGTCACAGAGCACTTTATTTTGAGAGTTGTTTAAGAGAGAGAAAGTCTGTAACTTAGTCCAGATTGTGGGAATTGTAATGTTTAATCATTTCTTTTATTATGTAAATAATTTTTGCATTGAAATTTACATAGACTTTTGTTTGTATATGCTGTCAATTATAGTTCTTAGAAAGAAAATTGGAATCGGCAAAAATCGGTATTGGCAGGTCACACTTCCAAAAAATCGGAAATCGAAATCGGCCAAGAAAATTGCAATCCGTGCATCTCTACTAATTAGTTAGATGTTTTAATCAGATTAGTTGTCCGGTCAGGCAAGTAAAATTATCTTTCGCTTGCCCTTTCTAAAAACCCACTTGTCCCAGACAAACATAAATGTCGAGCTCTGTTACTGTATATAAGATTTAACCCGCCAAAGTGGGAGTGACCGTGTTACCCGCCACTGCTAAAATCCACCCGCGTTTGGCGGGTTTTAATGTCAAGCCCTGGCTGTATATTAGAAAGTCATAGGCTAAATAAAAAAGAATATTACTTACTACCCTTTTTTTAGTCAGATAGGCCTGCGTATTAGCACACAGATCAAAATCACTCTCGTGTACCCCTGGTGGTCAGTCTGGGGTACCCCAGTTTGGGAACCGCTGTATTAATACATTTGTTTGCCAGCACTATCAAAGCTAGTGATGTGAGAAAGCGAATTGATATGTTCATGCAGTCGACAGAAATCTTGCTGTGCCACGGAGCGCCATTCGCATAGTTTTCCATTAAATTATATTATAGTTGTCCCAAATTGTTGTTGTACATAATGACTTCAAACTAGGCTGGAAGATTGTGTGTTGTGCATTTTTCAGGGAAACATTGGTCTTTCTTTGGCTCCAATAAAGTCTGTGTGCTTCATATATAGAGCTATAATATAGATCGCGCTTTCTCTTTCCATTTTGCTGTTTTAAAAAAAAAAAAAAAAAAAAACTGAACTTCAAACTCATCTATTATGTGCATTTATTGAAGTTAACTTTTGCCTGTGATTAAATAAACATGCTTTTTAACGCTGCTTGAATTGAAAGCAACGCATCCAGTGTGTGTGATATGAGTTATATTATTGTGCGTTTGTTTTCAAAGGCGTGAAAGTCCCCCGTAACTTCCGGCTGCTGGAGGAGCTTGAAGAGGGTCAGAAGGGTGTTGGAGATGGAACGGTGAGCTGGGGTTTGGAAGACGATGAGGACATGACCCTCACACGCTGGAGAGGAATGATCATCGGACCCCCTAGGGTCAGTTCTACTAGCCTAATTAGCTCTTTTAAATTAATTTAAGATGCATATTCTTGTGCCTGAGTAAAATGTTCCTACTCAGAAAAACAAGAGGTCAGAATCTGAGTTTATTCTGTTAGAAACACTCTGCATGTTTCTGAAAAGAACCAAATCCCAATAACAATATTACTGGGGAAAAGGCATACTACAACATTTGGGATGTGCAATATGCATTGTCTATGATGATATCATAATTGTTTTAACGTTGTGGAAACTGACATTGAGAATGTCACTTACTTTGCAAAAACCAAACATTTCTTCAGAGTGCAAGCTTTCCCTGTATGATCTAGCCCAGGGGTGTCCTGGAGGGCCGGTGTCCTGAAGAGTTTAGCTCCAACCCCAATTAAACACACCTGAACCAGCTAATCAAGCTCTTACTAGGCATACTAGAAACTTAAAGGCAGGTGTGTTGAGGCAAGTTGGAGCTAAACTCTGCAGGACACCGGCCCTCCAGGACCGAGTTTGGGCACCTCTGATCTAGCCTATTAGAATTCAGTTAAAATGCCCCCAGTATTCAAAATGTAAGAGTGCAGAATTTCACGAAATTAGCATGATTACAAATGCTTATTGAACTGTTTTATAAAATCCATATCACATGAATTTAATTGTATCATGTAGCACTATATTATGCGCACCATGAAGGAGTATAATCCAAAATAGCCTTTTAACTTTCCCTGCCAACATTTTTTTTTTTAAGTTGCCAGCCACTGCATGATTTTCACTCAAATTTGATGGCCTCCAGTATATTTTGCTGTATGAATATTTGAATATGCAATACAACAAAATAAAGATCAGGGCCTCTACTTTTAAACAAAATCAGTTTTATTCTAGCTTAAAGCATTTTTTTTTATCAACACTTGAATATAGGTAGGTTTCATAAAAATGCGTAATTTTGAGCAAAAAGGTGAGAAAATCACATTTCTATCAAACTACATCTGGATAATATTCAGTATGATTATCAAAGCATAAATCCAGTAAATCACTTCCATCAACACCTCCAAAGCTTGCACAGGCATATACCACTTCCTGGATCAACATTTTACTCTGTAACATTATGCAGTTTTCATTTATATGCTGTCTATTGCTGATGATCACATTATTTTTCATATGCATCTGTTTACATATGAGATCGCTCGTTTCCAGGGGTGTGAAGTAACGGATTACTCAAAGTACAATTACTGATAAAAACTACTTAATTACTGTAACGTGAGTATTTGTAGTTTAAAAATTGTGTACTTTTACTTGAGTACATTTTAAGTGATGTATCGGTACTTTTACTCCGCTATTTTCCTCCGTTTATGGTCGTTACATGCTTATTTTAATTTTATTTGTATCCATCAATGTGATTGGTTAGATAGTAATAGGTCTCGTGACTTTCATCAAATCAAATTTTGCATAGAAAACTTTAACCGCCAATTGTTTATCATTGCTTCAAGCATCAATTCAGTCGCATCTTCCTCCAACTTAATGTTAAGGTAAATTTCGGATTTCTGCTTACTAAATGATTTGTATATATGCTTGCCTATCTACACGGCCTGAAATTTGGTGTGAGGTTGTGGGTATTGCATACAGTGTTAACTCACGCAAGTGCCACGTTCGGTAAATTCCCACTCACTTTTGAGATGCGCTGCCTCTCACGTGCGTTCTGCAGCGGTCACTTGGATAAGTCGTTGTTGCTTGTGGAACTTGTTGACTTTTGATGAGTTTGAACGCGTGAAAAAGTGTTGAAAACACAAATTGAGGACCAATCTGCACCTTATTGATGACCCGTGGCATTAATATACTGCATCTGTGCCAGTACGTGATGTAATAAAACTGCAGCTCGTTAATAAACTTTTTTTTTTTATCCATTTTATACAATCCACCTTCAATTAGCAAGTGCACTCGCGCATAAACAAACAATTTTCAATTTCAACTCTTTTTGTTCCATTCACCGCCGAGGCTCAGCAAAGAGACGTGCGTGTGTGTTTTCCTTTGAAAAAGTTTCCCCAGAAATAACTCGCTATTTAATGCATTTCCCCTTACAAATTGTATTATCAGCATAACAATTTTTTTTCTTCAATCGAATACTGTTTCCGTGCTGTTTTGATGTATTTGAAAGAGTTGGCAGTCAAAAGTAAAACTGCTGGATGAAAGATACTCTTCATTCTTTATGACAAACAAGATGATGTGAATTACAGAATGAACAACAATAAATTGCGGTGTACAGCGTTTATTATGAGGGGGTAGAATCCACAGCTCAGTACTCACTACTCAATACTCATGAGTACTTTTAAATAGGCTACTCTTTTACTCTTACTCAAGTAGTTTTTTTGGACAAGTACTTTTACTCTACTCGCACTACATTTTTTGGAAGGTAATGGTAGTTTTACTTGAGTATATTTTTTCAGTACTCTTTCCACCACTGCTCCTTTCTCCATCCTGTCCACGTGTGTTTTTGTTCGGGAGGTTTTGTACTAGTTTAGAAGATGCGTAATAGCGCTACCGAGTGTATAACAGTGAAAACACGGAAAGCTGTAAAAACTTCTCGTTGCGTTTTCATGTAAAAGACGAGAACTCGTCAGTGGCAGGGAAAGAGTTAATTATAAATCCTCAAGGAATAAACACAGGAGCGCACACAATTGTAAAGCAAAAAACCGGCAGAGAACAGAAAACAAAGTATTTATAATGGGTAAATTAATGAGACTCACCTGAAACTAATACTTTACCAAAGAAACTAATGACAAGATCAGAAACTAGGAAGACAAGAACTAAATGGGAACCTGGAACATAAGAAAACATAACAAAAAGTCCATAACTGTGACATTAATATTAAAGGGGTGAATTGCCTTTATTTTAGAATATTTCATGAAATTATTTTATACTTTTAATGTTTGGTATGATTTTTACATCAAGAGCAGTCATCATTTAGAAATAATTGGCCATTTCTTTGTTTGAACACTATTTAAAAGTGTGTCTCCTTCAATTCATATCCTTGCTGTAATGATTGGCTCACATCTTTGCATATTTATTACTAAACTATATTTTGATGGACTGATGTCTTCAACTCCATTAGGACTCTTTACTTTTCAGTAGACGCTTATGAAAATATTTTTAATAAAGTGAAACTTTTTTTTTCTAAATTTTTTAATGAAGTGAAGGTTAGGTTTTAGAATTCCACACTCAAGCGCACACAAAGTTTGCCACAAAGCACCGGCAAAAGTAATGACTATATGTTGTGAAAAATAGCAAGGAGATGTATAAATTATTTATTAATAAACTAGTCTGGGAGGTAAGTAGCCACTACGCTGAGTTTCGGTTCATTTTTGTGCTGCGCTCCAGTTCATGGAGACCAAGACGAAAGAAAGCACATCCTGTTTGTTTTCTTTGTTTTACAAAAGCGCAACGTCTTGTTGTTATTGTGAGTGTACACAAATAAAAGTAGATCCTTGACAGTTTTGAATCATGTATTACTCTTATCTGTATGAGCAAAAATTATGGCATATTTTGTTTCCACTGTTATAAGGAAAAAATGCAAATGATCATGCCAGCACCTCCATTTCACGTAGTAAGCGCGCTATAGCTTCCACACTTTGCATAAACACTTGAATATGCGCCTAATAGCGCCCATTTATCTAGGGTAACATTAGAGCAAATGGCTGTGTAAAGTTGCTACTACTTACTTTTAATTATAAGGTATAATTGACTTTTTTCCTGTGTTTAACCGACCAATACAATTTTAGCCGACTAAGCCTCTTTTATTCAACAAACGTTTAGTTGGCTATTGGGGGGCATCCCTATATTATATATATATAACTGGTACACTGTAAAAAAAAAAATGTACCGTAGAATTTACAGAAATTACTAATTTATTTATATTATTTAATTACAGTGAATTGCTATGTGAAACAGTAATTTGTAGTATTTTTACAGTAACATTGAATTAAATTTGTAGTTTTTTTACAGCAATATTTTGTAATCTCACTAAAGTACAGTATTTACCTGGAAACTAAAGTTGCCAATGAAATCCTGTAAATACCCCTAAATCCAAGATGTTTTAATAATTTAACAATGAAAATGCTGCAAAGAATTATTTTAACAGTAAATTGTAAACCGTAAAATACGGATTTAAATGCATGAGCACTATCTTAATACATTTACAAATTAATAAAAACCAAGTCAAAGATGTTGCAAATAAATATTTATTAAAACTGGCAGAAAGACATTGCAAGGCTTTTACTGGTAAAAATAAAAATGTCAGTCTTTCAACAGTTAAAATCTTATCATAATAATAACATGGCATCACAAAATAACTACAAATACTTGTTATATCACAAAATAAGCTAAGAAATATTCTGAGTAGAACATTAAATTTCTATAAAAATGAAGGTCAATCAACAGAATTCGTATAATTTTGGTTAAAAAGGGATTAAAAAATGCTGGAATCAACATTATACCGCAAATTCTGTTGTTTGAGCTTATGTTCTATTACATTTAGAATATTCTTGCAAAAGACAATTTAATAAATGCATACTGAAAGTCCATCAACTTTCTGAGTTGAGCACACACATGAGGGTTGTCCCTCTTCTCAGAGACCTTTCCACTTGTTTTGCTTCTATGTATCCGTCTTGTATCCAGTGAGTGTTGTGATTCCAACAAAACATCTGCACATAAAAACAAGCAGAAGCTTTAGAATAAAGTTCAGTGTTGAATGAAACTAGCTCAATAAAATGAATGTAAAAATGCCACTTATACAGTACAATCAGCATGTGCCAGTACTTAAACTAAATAAGTAACCTCTTCTCTGAGACCTTTCCACTTGTTTTGCTTCTATGTATCCGTCTTGTATCCAGTGAGTGTTGTGATTCCAACAAAACATCTGCACATCAAAACAAGCAGAAGCTTTAGAATAAAGTTCAGTGTTGAATGAAACTAGCTCAATAAAATTAATGTAAAAATGCCACTTATACAGTACAATCAGCATGTGCCAGTACTTAAACTAAATAAGTAACCCTTTTCACAAATGAAGTTACTCAAGTAAAACCTTTAAAAAAATTTAAAAAAAAACCCTGTTACCTTTTAAAAAATTCAAGTGTGCAAAAGATGCCTGCTCCCGGGACGCCAGACTGAAGTTGTAATAAGACTGCAAATCCAGCCACAAAGGTATGAATTCACAACCATCTGACCCCCGAAAAGCCACTGGGTGCACCTGAAATGAATAAATATAAGCCATAATGTAACCTACAATACAGTATTTCAATATAAAATGTAATCTAAAATACAAGTTTATCAAATGATTTACAACAGAATTAATAAAAATACATTACCTAATACAATTGAAAAATAAATCAACTCAACAGTTTAAACATTTACCTCATGTTTCTTGTGAGTTTATGTGTGCCGTTAAGGTTATTTGTTTTGATGTTGAATGTAATAAAATCAGAATCAGTCGCGTTTTCGATGCTTCCCTAGTTTTTTTTTTTTGTTTTTTTTCTTTCTTTTTCTCACCCAAGCTTTAATCAGGTTAACTTGTCCAATCGGGCATATAAATATGTCTTTCACTAAAAAATTGTCCCGAACCAGCTTTATTGTCAGTACAACTACAGTGGCAATAGACACCCATTTACATGTAACGTTAGTTTCTAATTATAGTAAGTTGTCACATCAATATGGGACAGTTTAACACATAGGAACAAATTAAATTTAGCTGTTTGTCAGTTATTTCGACAGATAGTAGTTACTATAACAATCATTCACACTGGGCATTACGTTAAATGTTGGGTAAACTACTTTAAATGCTCTCAATAAGAAAATTAAACTGCCAAAATAAAAATAAAAATGCAGCATTTAGCCTAACTGTGCTATGATGGCAATTTCCAGCTTACTGCACATACCAAGGCCGCTTGTCTAAATGTCGTGATAGCAGGCTGTTGTAACGATATGGCTTATACATTAACTTAATTTTACTTTTATTTATTTAAGTGAATTTACCAGGAATTATGAATAAAGCTCTAATCTTCAATCGTTCTCGAGCTGCTCCAGTCAGCTGGATTTCAGATTTGAATGAAGCACGCGCAATCCCATAATACCACACTACAGTAAGTTAGTGTAAAAACCAGGCGCTACAGTGACAACACCTGCTTCTTGTAATAGAATTACAATCGACATTTGACCCATAATGCATTGCGAATTACAGCTACATCTTGTAAAATGTTTAAACCGTAATATACTGTAAAATTGTACTGTAGAAACTACAGCAATTGTTTACAGTGTATAATTACAGTTACTGCTATTAACTGTTTGTGGAAAGTTGTGGATTACATAAAGTTAACATTGTTTTTGTTTAACTAATAATATAAATTGTTTATAGAATCTGTATGGGACTGGAATCATTAAATTCCTAACGATGCACGAGCAGAGATGTAGCAGAAGTCGCTAAACTTATCATTGAAGAAAAAGCTCCAGTTCTTTGAGGAATTGTGTAGAAATGTACTTTTGAATCTACCATTAAAACCCAAATATGTTTTTCTTTATAGTTTTCATGAACCATTCTAGAACATGTTTTTAGTATACAGTGGGTATAGAAAAAAATAATAATTTGTTGCTTTGCATCCTGAAATGAAGATGGACACAATTTTAGTTTTATCCAGCTGTATTTAGCCTACTCAGTGCAACTTATAATATCCAAGTGAAAGATATAACAGTTGGAAAAAGTAACACTCCCTTGTATCAGTATTTTGTTGAAGCACCTTTTGCTTTAATTACAGCCTTTAGTCTGTTGGGATTTGTCTCTACTAACTTTGCACATCTAGACTTTGCAATATTTGCCCACTCTTCTTTGCAGAAAGTTCAGTTAAATTTGATGCACTGAGTAAATATTATGATTATTTTAAAGGGGGGTGATTCATTTCTATACCCACTGTATTTTGGGCGTTATATATGGAATTAATTAACTTAATCTGAAGGGGCTTCAAATTACTTGGCAGTTGTATTTACATGTAGACTAATCATAAGGGCATAATATGTTTTCATCAGGGCATAATGTTTTGTTATTATGAGCTGTAAATTTTACAGGGCCAAACCAGGCATCTACATTGTTTAACATTTATTCTAAAAGAATAGCAGAATCCAATATCATTGGAATCACTTTCAGAAAGATTTTTTTCTCAGCTGTTGAACAATTAAAACATTGACAGCCAATCCATCCTACTTTAAAGAAACGTTTAAATGACAAAACTGCAGCAACAGACCAATATCATACGTTGGTGCGGACGCTGTTATATTTATTGTTATAGTTATCATTCTTGGTTTGAACGGGTATTTAGGCTGATGACTTTCACCTTTATGTTTTTAATTAAGGGATTAATCAGTGTGATGTTGTTTTAGAATTACACGTTTATAATGATTTTTTTTTTTTCATGCAGACCATCTATGAGAACAGGATGTACAGTCTAAGAGTAGAATGTGGACCAAGATATCCAGAAACGCCCCCTTTTGTTCGTTTTGTGACGAAGGTCAACTTGAATGGAGTGCATAACTCAAATGGTGTGGTAAGTTCAACGGAGTACTGAATATTCAAGTTCTCCCTCATCTGTGACTTTTAATCATATGCATGTCTCATTAGGACCTTCACAATTCATGCTATTCATAATTCCTTTGTTTATCATATTGTGTGTGTCTACACATTGAGAGAAGGAATTCTGAATAGCTAATAAACTGAACCTGTCTGAAATGTTCACAACCGGAAACTTAAAAACAACCCAAATATTTCAGTGTTTAATATATGAATGAAGATTTTTCTCTGCCTTTTCACAACTAAGTAATGCCAGACAACATGACTGACAACAGTTTATCTAATAACACGTACAAAATGTTCGAATAAAGTTTCATAAAATGGTAAACCCCACATTTCAGCATTTAAATAAAGAAAAGGGTTGTCAAAGTGATTATTTTATCTGCTCCAAAAATAATTCTAGAAATAAATAATACCTTATCCAAATTGTTTAAATGTTTAGAATCCACATGAGCTTGTTTTTCATCAACCAGTCAAAATTACAGCAGGGCATGCAAAATCTGCCGGGGGGGTTTGGCCAGACAAAAGCTGCACACTGCACACAGGCTGAATGTACATTTAACTCTCTGTAAATCCACTCTCTGACACTAGGTGGCGCTTATGGAACAGCAGAAATTAGAGCTATTTCCGTAATCTCAGTGGACAAAGCATTGCAATAAGAACACTTCTTTATTAGGTATTACATTGCGCGAAGATGAAAACAAAATGACATTGAATCCAGAGCTCGACATTAACGCTTGTCCGGGACAAGTAGATTTTGTGAAGGGGCAAGTGAAAGAGAATTTTACTTGCCCGCCCGGACAAGTAACCCATTTAAAACGCCATTAACAAACAATAGCTAGGGTAGAAACTTTGGCGACAATGATTCTGATTTTATTACATTCAGTGTAAATGGTGACTGATAACGGCTAATGTATTGACCGTATCAAGGTCGCGTCAGTTAAGGCTCACGCAGCCTGTGTGACCCGCGGAGAAATCAGGACTAATAAGCGCAACAGCACACACAAAGAAACAAACAAACATACTGCGGTAGAAAAAAAAGATAAATATTCTATATAATATAGGTAAGAATCATCACACGACCAAGAGTGATGTTTTTTCGACTATCAGCACAATGGCAAATGTGAAATTGATTTGATGTGCATCTCCAAGCAACACATAACAGTGTTTCCTTACTGAATGATTCGGCATTTTTGAACGAATCGGGTGAGTCAATGATTCAGTGAGCCATTCATGAAGACAGTAACTTGCTTCATTTATTGAATGAATCAGCCATTTGAACGAATCGGTTGAATCAATGACTCGCTCATTAAGACCGTGATTGCCACCACCTACTGGTACTTTGGTTTCATATTTAAAAGTATCATTGCATTTTTCCAACATTTCATATTTGTATGTTAAAAAAAGTAAAACATTAATCTTATAACATTATTTATGCATTTGCAATTTTACTGCGTAAATGCATTTATGGAACCTCTTATCTTCATGAAACAGTCTGAGTAAATGCATCTAAATGGCACTTTCAATGCAGCTTCAGTGTTTCCTCTGAAGTGTAAAGATGGAGTTTGTTGATACTGATTTAATTCGAATGGTAACAACCATACAGTGTCTTATTATTCTAACAATGTATTGTTAAAATGTAAGAATTTGACATAAATGATGACACGTACATTCAATAAGGTCAGGAAAATATTGTCCTTCACAAAGTTAAAAAGTGTCCTAGAAATCAATTTAAGGTAAATGTGCTGATTAAAGTAAGACCTGATAGAGCACTGATAAGACTATTGCTTCAGAATAAATTACATTTACGCAAAAAAAAAAAAAAAAAACTTTTTTCCCCCGGACAAGTAACGTTTTTTACTCGGGCAAGTGAATGTCTGATTTACTTGTCCGAAGGACAAGCACATGTCAAGGCTTAATGTCGAGCCCTGGAGTCTTTTCTGAAGACAGTCAGAACCTACAGAGGTACATTCGAATTCGAAATGGTAATACTAACAGTGGGGAATTGTATCATCAACCCGGTAATCGTTTCACTAGACACAACAGCCAAAAGGAGAGTGTTTTCCCTGTGCTGTCACTAGGGCTGGGGCGATATGGGGGGGGGTCTTTTTTTTTTTCAGAACGTTTGACCGATCAACTTGAAAATGTAACTACGTGATTCAAGTAACTTTTTCTTTATTAACCCTCTAGTTAAAGAAAATTCTATTCCAAGTGCAGCAAACATGAATTTGTCAACATGATGTAAATATTAACCCCCGGACAAGTAACGTTTTTTACTCGGGCAAGTGAATGTCTGATTTACTTGTCCGAAGGACAAGCACATGTCAAGGCTTAATGTTTTTTTTTTAAACATTTTTTTTTCAGAACGTTTGACCGATCAACTTGAAAATGTAACTACGTGATTCAAGTAACTTTTTCTTTATTAACCCTCTAGTTAAAGAAAATTCTATTCCAAGTGCAGCAAACATGAATTTGTCAACATGATGTAAATATTAAACAAATCATTTGTTAAATATCTTTGCAGAAAAGATGCATGAATTACAACTACATCTTGTACAACTTGTCTTATACATGCGTTCAGTATGGAGACAGATCAGCCTCAAAAATAACACATTTGCAAAACAAAATTCATAAATGCACAGCACAATTTACATTTACAAAATCCGATTCGTAAACTCAAAACACAATTCATAAATACACAAGTAAAAACATAAATATTTCCCCAAATGCTCACACAAATGCATCTTACCTAAATAAATTAAAAATGTTTACACATATGTATATATACATTTCTTGAATTAATTTCCATCACATTTATGAATGATGTTACATGTATTTATGGATCGTTGAATCTGCATTTGCAAATCGTCACATGTAACATTTTAGTGGGTACTTTTTTTTTTTTTTGAAGCACCTGATTACAAATTTCTACAAAATCACATTATTATTTATATCATTCGCACAAAATACAGCTACCTGGTTAGCCTGATGTCTTATACACCAAAGTTGACATACCCTGTTTATTCAGATCAATCTGTAATGTTATCAAATAAGTGTTAAATGTCCAGATATTTCATTTAATAACAACAATTATGTAATGTATTCTGTTGTTGTTGTTAGTAATAGTAGTATCAGGTTCGCAGTAACTTTTGATCAGGCATTAAAAACAGCTATCACCACCTAAAGGAGATTTCGAACACACAGCAGAGAGATTTAGCATGGAGGATGAAAACCACACTCAACGAGTGAGTAAAGTCGTTTTTTTTTATCTGATGGCATTTTCTTATGATTAAAGGTTGTTTTAGTTAATTAAGTGTGCAGTGTTACAAAGTTATTAGTCCATGCCAGCTTTCTTATATTATAACTAGTGTTTGTAGGAACACTTTAGTAATCACAGGATGAATGGGCGATAAACAACGATTTCGATGCTAAACTTTTGCATAATTTTAAATACAATTTGTAGTCAGTGGGTTCTAAAGTTACCATTGCGACCAGCTATAATCATAAGAAAATGCCATCAGATAAAAAAAAACGACTTTACTCACTCGTTGAGTGTGCTCGTCCTCCATGCTGAAATCTCTATCTGTTATAACAGGTGCAAGCGTATGCACAGTTTCTATTTAGGCTATAACACGTGTTTGCAGCGTTGAGCAATGCAGTGCTGAAATTTGCGTGCTCATGAATCCTCTCATTATAACACACGAATTGTAGACATTATGAACGATTAATTATGCTTATATTCATTGTGTTATAACATATTTGTGAGATATTATAACTATGAACTGAGATGTCTTTTAGAGACTGTAAATGCAGCGCTATTTACTGGCATTCTGTCATACTGTAACAACGCGCAGGTGTTCTATAGAACGTGGGGTTAACTGGAGCTAAGCTAGGCTAATAAACTGTTGCTAAGCTAATTGCTAACAGGGTGCTAGCGTCTACACGTCAAGACTTTCAATTTGGTTAATGCAAAGCGCGAACACTCAAGTCCCATATGACACACGACCCTGAATGTCTCTGTGAAAAGAAGCACTGACAAATCAAATCAGCAGGAGGCAGTACCCTCATCTGTGTCCTTTAAGTCTACACGTCAAGACTTTCAATTTGGTTAATGCAAAGCGCGAACACTCAAGTCCCATATGACACACGACCCTGAATGTCTCTGTGAAAAGAAGCACTGGCAAATCAAATCAGCAGGAGGCAGTACCCTCATCTGTGTCCTTTAATTCGAAACATAGAATAAAATCATACACAAGTAAGGCCATATCGCCAAGTGACTCCCCTACACATCTCTCTCCATGACGGTGACAGCCACACTTTTTATAACAAGGCAGTAATTGAACCAAACCCACCCAAACTAACTTGAACATAAACACAAATAGCATTGCTAACGCAAAAACCCAACCATCTTGCTTAATTAACACATAAATCAACTCTAAACAAATACCCATAATGCACCTGGCTGCTAGCGCTCACTGCCGGGTCATTACAATACCAAACCATGCACGCAGCAGCCGCTGCTTTAGTTAAAATAACAGTGTTCTGTGAATGTTGATGCTTTAATAACAAATACTTATCGGGAGCGTGTTTGCTGGGATTTCATAAATGTAATGGAGAATAAAGTAACAGTAACTAGTAATTACTAATTACTTTTGAAATAAAGTAATCAGAACAGTAACATGATTACTTTTAAAAGGAGTAATCAGTAATTTAATTACATTTTCAGAGTAACTTGCCCATGACTGCTTTTATTGACCTCATTTGTAAGTCGCTTTGGATAAAAGCGTCTGCTAAATGATTAAATAAATAAAATAAATAAACACCAGCAGACTATTATTAACTATAAATAAAATAAATAACAAATTCAAACGCACATGTGACCATGATGCAAACATGAAATATCATACATACAGAAGTAGTTCTTTACAGGTTTTTATTTTTTTATTCTGCTTTTCCACAGTTTTTTCTATGTGAGCCTGGACGTGTTTGACTAGGTGT